CTATTTTTTTCCATTCATTCAGATAAAACCATCATGATGGACACCATTTAAATGAAATCAAACGATAAAGGCACAGTTTAGATGAGACAGATCCTCGACAAAGTGGTAATAAGTTAAAAAATTGTTCCTCCCCTCAAAGCAAAAGCTACTTAGTGAGTAGCTCTAAATGGAATTACGACCACACTGATTTCATCACAATATTTGATGAGGCTTGTACTAGAGTGATACTCCCTACTTTCTTAATCATGCTCATAGCAAAGGCAACTAGCCTTTCTATTATGAAAAGTGCTTTGACCGAGGATTTATTGTAGGGTTTAGAATCAGCAAGGTGGACCAAGATTGTCTCCCACCTTTAATATTCTGTCAAATGATCAAACTAAGATTTTTCTGCTTTCTTTTCTGTCTTGTTGAGAGAGTGACTGACTACTGCAACCCATTATAAAAAAATCAGCTGAAAGTGGACACACACTTCATAATAATCTCTTTTTCAGTGTTCAAATGTGAGACTCAATGGAGGGACAAGGCATACATAGGGCCAGCGCAGAAAGAGATATCATTTCATTCTACAAAGACTGTGTTTGGATCTCAATAATACGCGCAACGGAAATGCATAGAGAAGCATCACAGATTTAAAAGGATAGAGGAGGACAGATACCTGGACCATGCTGATGATAATAAGAATTTTATCGTCATGCCTATTCTTGTCAAAACTTCACCAACACAGACAACGGTTTTGTATCACCTCCATATCTTGTCAACCTAAACAAAAACTGCCAAAGATTGTACGAAATTAAGTATCCAAAAAATTGAATTAAGGCACATAAGTTTAACGTTTTTCAGATACTTCAAGACATTGGTGGAGCAGGACTTCCACCTTCAGCAATCAATCCACCGAGAAAAAAAAGAGTCCTAAATAGTGAACGTCACAGCATTGTACAGCATAATTGCTTACATCTGAATCAACTAAGCATAATTAATTGATTGGTTGATTTCTCTTTTCTTGTGGAGAGTCTTTTCAAGCACAGAAACAATAGAAAAAACCAGTGAAGAAAAAAAAGAGCCACATCATACAAATACTCAAAATTATATTATATAGTAAAACTGATACCAATTACCCTTCAAAATGGCATAATTTTCCACGAATTTCATTCTTCCAGCCTTACAAAAAAGAAAAATCAGTTTCAGATTTTCAGTAAATAAACTTAACGATGTGCCACTTCAGTAATCAAAGCCCAAGCTAACGAAAATAATCACCAAGTGAATAAAAAACTGATAATCGACCAGAAAAAATACACGAAAAAGAGATGGTACCATTCAGTGCAGCACGTGGTAAGCAATGAGAGCTCAATTAACGGAAGTTGGAGATCCGATGATGAACTTTTTAACAAAAACCGTTACTAGACGATCATCATGGTACAAGTAAATGCAATTTTTATTTTATTTTATTTGGTAGAATCGGAGGCGTGATTTCCATAAATCAGTTTATCGATTGCCTCTACGGTCTCTGTTGAGACGCCAAAAATGAAATTGAGCTTTGAACAGTTTCTATTTCCGAACAAACAAACAGGCTCGAGCTGGAGAGATATGGCCCCGGTTCTTTTAGATCGAGCTTCTACCTGTGGGCTTGCGTTGGCCCGATCATAATATCATATTGCTGGAGTGAGAAGCTTTGTACAGGCTTAATTTTGGGGCGTTTAGTGAATGGGTTGGGCATGTGGACTTATGGCCCAATCAAACTTCATTATATTCAAGCTGTTTTTTTTTTTTTTCCAATGCTCAAGAAATCTTTCATGATTTTTTTAATCTCTATTTTTCTTTCATTTGTAAAATATTTTACGAGTTCCTTATATATTTTTTTTCTTGTTTTGAACCTTTATTTTAAATTTTAATGAGATTAGCTTAATTTTTAAAAAAGGAAAATTTGAAAATTGAATATTTGGTCCTGTAAAAGTTTGATAGAATTGGTTGCTGCTTTTCCCAAAAATGAATTAAAAAAAAAAAAAAAACTTCTACTAGTTTGACTGATTAAAAACCGTCTGCAAACAGAAGATACGCATCCATCATTAATCAAAGAAAAACTTTGATTGCTATTCATCACATGCTAGGGATCGGAATCATTCTTTTACCTTTGGTTAATTTTCCTATTCAGTACATTAAAACATCCAATTATATTTGAACTTCAGATACATATCCTTGAACATCGGCTTGGCAAATAATAAGAATTATTTGGTACATCATAGGTTATATTCTATTCATCCACATAAGTTGATTCAATATATCAAAAGTTGCATTATTTTCATATAAAAATAAAGTTTATCATAAAAATTTATCAATGTCTTATGTTAAATTTCATATTTATATAAAAACTGGAGTATAATTTATTATATATCTAGTAATTTAGCAAATAATACTCCAACAAAGCCTATCAAGAGATTTAATATAGTTGTAAGAAGATTGTTTTAATTTGGTTAATTAATTATAATTATTTTTAAGTGATATCAGATTTGGATTCATTTGATATAAGAGGATGGTCAATAATTGACTAAAAATTAAGTTTATCTTAACACTCGAGTTAACTTAAGAATTGATGAATTTAATTTGATAGATACAAAAATTGATTAAAAAATACTCCATTACGAGTGTGTGTGTGTATATATATATATATATATATAAACCTTCGGCCGGGCCCAATCAAATGGCTACCTCAGAACATATGTACAGATCAAAATTAACGTAATGTCCATAGCAGTGGCATGTGCCCATGCCAGTGCTCCATTTACATCTCTCAGCGTGTAAATGGATAAGCTTGAACTCCATTGGGAAGACAAGAACCCCATCTTCCCTCTTAAGAACTTCTATGTCACAGCTTCTTTTTGCTATCAAAGATTTCTACTTAGGGAGGGGGCAACGAGGTGACGGAATAAAGGGAAAATGGCGAAAAGTTAAAAGAGAAAAAATTGAAGCACCTAGTTAGCATTGCCCATTAGCATTTTTGCATGCGAGAGTGAAAGTCGGTCTGGACTAATAGCAAAGAGGGACCAACTGGGAGATATGGGCCACGAGGCTTATAAAAGAAAAGTGAAATGAAAAGGAGATCAAGGCCCACAACTAAAGATTTCAGGGTACTGAGGTAGCTATCACTTTATAACCCCACTGCTTTTGTATCTTTGCTTTCATGGACCTGTACAACAAGTATACACATTAGTAATGTAAAACAAGGTGACAACTAGCAAAAACATACGAGCCCAAGTCGTGCGATATAGACAATAGCTATTTTGATATGTAAAACACTTCAAGAATGTGATAGACATAATAAATCGAAGATAGAACAGTATCAATGACAATGTCGGACCAAAACATTTTGCATCAAATGGTTAATAGGTGTTATGACTGGTTTGAATAATGGACCAACCACAACCCATTTGAAACTAAGCGACAGAACAAGTCCTTCAGAAGGGCTGAAGGGACCCATGAGCTGGTTATATTGGTGTAGTTCACGCACGAAATAGAGGGAATCAGGACCCATGAATTTCTCATGGCCAGGTTCTGTGGTCTAAGGACTAATTAATTACTGGCAAGAGGTGATAAGAACAGGTTTGTCAGGACCTTCGATAAACATTAAAATTCAGCACATGGCATGCCTGCTTTAATTGCCATCTTATAATGCGGGAGAAGGAGAAGTATTACTGTATAAGAAACCTAGGTACCTTAGTTCGGTTACTGCATTAGCCATTGAGCAGCTGTCCTTTTTGAGTTTTGAAGACAAACGTTAAATTCTCTCTGCCTATGGCATTGTATATCCGGGGCTAAAGGGTCCCCAAGTCTTAATTTCTTCTCGTCAAGTTTGATAATATTTGCCAATACAAAACAATTATTATTGGGTCTTTAGGACAAAGCAATTTCACTTGTTTGCGTAGCAATATCTCCCAGTTTTCCACCAAAAGTTAAAAGGGTGTTCCCTGCTCATCTTGATTAATTAGACGAACCAACTAATATAGATTCAAATCAAATCCAACATTTATGAGAGTGCCAACTAAATTCTTTAATATTGCAGACAAGCAAATAATGGAAGCAGTTAAATCTCCTGCAGCTCTGCCGAGTAAAATGTGAAGAAACAGGAAATTATGACCGGCCCCAAGCAAAAGATTCGGCAAATTTTAGTAAACCGACCCTTCAAATCAAAAATCTAAATCGACGATGAACAGCACTTCCACTTAAACTCGGCTCATGGGTTACCCAAGACAGTTTGTCACACCTCAGTCAATTCGTCACCCTAGCCCATGCTACTAGCTGGTCACTGAGATTTTAGGACAGTACACTACCTGATGCATCTTGCATTAAAAAGGAAATGGTACAAATGAAGTGTGACGCAGTTAAAGGTTACTCCTCTAATTTCAGTATGAATTACCAGTTGTGGAGGAATTGTCCTTGCTCGTCCTGCCCCGTTCTAGTTTTACCTCACCTATAAAAATCCAACTAGAACTTATTTTTCCAAGCATTCTCATTGCAGGAGGGAACATCTAACAGTCTAACCGCATGCGACTGTGTCTTGAAAAGTTGAGCTCAAGGAGGTCGGTGGACGGCACATATATGATCACCCCCAAAACCCTCTAACGTGCCGAGTCATGGAAATCAACATTTTTTACCATAATTTTATGAGTAGCAAGATGGAATGATTATTCGTTGCTTATTAGAGACAAAATTTATGTACCTAAAAATGCTGTAGTAGTAAAAAGAATTGCACTTTTTAGCTTCCCGAATTTTAAAATATCAAACATAATATGTGCTTAAAAGCTCATACATACCCCTAATTTAACAATTTTTTTTCGTGGTTTGCCCCCCACTCTTTTTACATATTGAAAAAGTAAACGTTAGATTTGCCTGGTTTTTCAGGTGAATTAAGCTACTAAACATTCCCCAGCACATTGTTAAATCCCCCCCCCCCTGCCCAACCAAAAAAGAAAAAACCAAGGCCGGATTATTTTTTTGTTCTGTCCTTTTTAGAATACCAATTTCCTTCGAGGGACTACTTGATTAAATTTCCCCTTCCGGCAACAAAAGGCAGCTAGGTCTTGGATGGTTTCGCCAATTAAATCCTTGAATATCAGCCTCTCAATATCTAAAACAGCTTCGGACATCTCAATGGGGCGATCTCCCCATCCGTTAATCGTATCACCAGCGAGGTCCTTTCTAAGCACACCACAGATTACCTCAAACAAGTCATCTGATGCGTCCCTCTCCCGAATTTTTTGGAATTCTGACCAAATTTGCTGCAAGGAAGTTTGTCCACTCACAGGATTCGTCCAACAGATAACCTTCCAAGGGGGCAAATGTCTCTTCCGATAAAGAATTTCTGTGATTGTATCAAAAACAAGCTTTCTTTGGAGTGTTGACAGTTTGGAGGTGTCCTTTCCTTTAAGATATTGCTGCTTCTCTAGCAACTGGAATAAATCGGAGTCTTCAGGCAAATAATTTGAAGCTCGGAGGATATCAGAAATGTACATAAGGTCACCGTCATCTGAATTTGACTCAGTAGGAGAGATTGCTGTGCTCCAAATATCATCCTGTAATTCTGCCAATTGATCTGATTAAAAGAAAAAAGGAAAATAAAGTGTTATAAGACATCAATGTCCAAAAGTTAATATAAATCGACAAAACAGCATCATTATTCATAGGCAGCTCTGTGCCAAATCAAAATGTTCCTTCACTTTAAACACAAGGGAAACGGTGTCCATTTCAGTACGGACCATGATAGTAACAAAAGCTTAGTAGAACTGACAGAGAAAGCAAACGGTCATAAAAAGAAAGAAATCCACACAGACAACACACCCACAGACTTTGCTAGCTAATATCTCCTAACAGGAAGGCAGGCCACTTTGTTTTACATTGTGGGCCATAATTAAAAGTAACCAAAGACGAGCATAAAGCATTACAACTTGTCATGGAAGCGTAGAACGGACACCCGTCAGTCAGTTCAGGGAGGCATATTCTTTTCTAATTAAATAGAAAGAAGAGTACGGGGATTTGGGGTTAGATTTTCTTTCTTACATCAAGTAATTTTGCAGCAGTACCTCTTTGAGGCTAATTTTTAAAGCTCGTTTCTTCCTTGAATCACACCGTATCATCAGTCATAAATAAGGAGCCATCGTTTTCAAAAATTCGATGATCGTCATCACTTTTAGTTACTACCATCTTTACACGTGATTGTACCAATCGGCACAAGTTATAGATTTTGCCAAGCTACTGTGTCTTTTTTACATGTACCAACCAGCCCATCACCTCTGCTTTTTAAGTTACCACTAGCAAGTAATAATATAAATATAGTATAACTTAGCCATGCTATAGAATTGTAGTTCAGTAACCAATTAAATCAACCCACGTCATCTATTAAATCGATACCCAAGATTTTAGGCGCATTAACGGATTGTACTTTATTAGTTTATTGCACTGGAGGAGGAGGAGGAGGAGGAGGAGGAGGACCGCTACGCTAACTACAAGTAGGTAGGCCTAGATCTACTGCCCTAAAATTCCAGGACTAAAGTAAAAGAATCAGAAACTACGTCACCGTATCAATCTATCATAGTCAATGTGCAAAGATCTAGCTTTCTAAGCCTCCTCTGGAATTTTACCAACCGAGATAAAATTAAAACAGACCGCCACAGAAAGAGGTCCCCTTACCTTTGAAATCAACGCTCCGTTTCATTACAGGAGAAGGAGAAGATTCCTCCTTGTAAAACGAGGAGTCAAGCACTGATACTGGACTAGGTTGCAACTCGCTTGCAGTAATCTCTGCTATGCTGTGAAGCAGCTTGTCACACCTCTCTAATAGATTTCTTCCTTCATTATAATCCTCCAATTTCGAACTCTGCAATCCCAAATTCTTAGTGTCATTAAATTTAACACGAATTAATCAACAAATTTAAAATAAAATCAATCCCTTAATTATTTAAAAAATGCTGAAACTTCACCTCTATATCAGTGTGAGAAAAGGTACTGATACTACTCTCAGAAAAAGTGGATAATTCATCTTCTGCAGAGACAAACACTTTATCATCCTTGTGATAAATCTCAACCGTTGGTTTTCTTCTGGGTGACCGATTTGTCGTCCTCGAACTAATTTTAGGAGATTGAACCGGAGACACTCTTCTCTGCTCCACTGAATCATTACTAACTCTCCTCTGCGTTTCAACACTCAAAGGTCTCCTTCTATTGGGACTTCTACCATCGCTCTCATTTGCCATTGGCGAACTCAAATTCCTACCTCTGACTTGGCCCCTTACATTCTTTTCAATCTCCGGTCGCTCGCGCCTGGGGCTCATACCAGGCAATGTCTCTCCAGAGTAGTATGGATCTCGACGAAGACCAGGTCTTGCTCTATAAATTGAATGAGGCGAATCATTAATGATTCTTCCAGCAGGCCGGTTCTTTGAAGCTAGGGATTTTGCTGGCTTCATGAGGACGATTGGAGATTCTTCGTAAACTAAGTTTCTTTGGCTAATTTGATGTGCTGGCTTCTTGGAATGCAAAAGGCCTTTGAGTTGCAGAGCTTCAAGGATATGCTTAAGAGTTTCAAGATCTTTCGATGGCCCATCGATTCCTCTCATTTTTAGCTTCTTTTCAATCTCACCGTATATAGAAACACTCTGTTTTGGCTCAGGAAAGAAATCAGCTGAATCGAAGAAACTCTTTCTCTGTACACTGCCTCTGGTTTGAGCTCTAGCTGGTTCAGCTCTCACGTTCCGCATCACATTGTACGCTTTTGGATCTACTGCTCTGCCATTAGGTTTCTGATCCTTACCTCCATTGCTTGAGGCATTGCTTTGTGTGTTTTGCTGCTGCGTTTGCTTTAACTGAAAATTGACTCCATCGATGAATCGATACTGAAACAGATCTCTGGAGGCTCTAGACTCAGAAGCAGATCTTCTGAGTTCGGGTTTGTTCATCTGTTCAGGATCCGGATTAGGACCCTGCAATGGCTCCAGCCCCATAAGCCTTGCAATTACACTTGGCGATCGGCGTTGCTTGTCATTATCGTCTGTTTGCTCTTCATTGCTTTCGCAACGACTGACTGACAAAATTGCAGCGTTTGTACGGATCTCTCTTGGTTTAAGGCTTCCTTTTGCATCGAATGTTGCTCTACTATCAAGAGACAGTCTAGGAGCTTCTTTGCAGAATTTCCAAGATGATTTAGTGCCTTCTTTTAATTCCAAAACAGGAAGAGGGAGAGGCGATTTGGGCTGAATCTCAACAGGTAATGGAGACTGTGGTGTCGCCGGTGACCGGAGCTCCATAACCGGAGATTGCTTAAACCTGTCTGGAGAAGGCATTGATCTTGTTTGCTGTGGTTTCTCCAATTCCCTCGATATCGGTGGTGATTCCATTGACTGCTCTGACTCTGGATTAGAATCAACACCCTTAAAAAATCCAAAAATAAGTACACACTAAAGTTAAAAAACAAAACAGAGCAGAGAATGCAGAGTGAAAAAGATGATTACAACTTACCGTAGATAAAGGGAGACGTTTGGTGGAATAGAGGCGTTTTCCAGCGATAATCTGATGACGATCAAAGATCTGTAGGAAGCCTGCCATGCAACCCATTTGCTTCTCTATGTGCTTCTCCATATTCTGCTCTTGCACTATTCCCATCATTCTGTTTTTCCTATATTTGCAATAAAAACTTCTCACCTTCACCTTACCTCTCTTGCTCTTAAAAAGGAAAGTCTCTCTTTCTTTCTCTCAGGAAAACATTTCACTCTCCAAACTTCATTTTTCACTCTCTCTCTCTCTCTCTCTCTCTCTCTAATTCCTCCGTGTATTTTTCTCTCTGTAACTGAGCCTGCTTCAACGTCTCCCGCTTTTCTGGTCTTTAAAAGCGTGGGCGAAGCTAAAAGAAGGGCGGAGGGCCAGACGAAATGACGAGTTTTACCCTTTATTTACAATGAAGGCCAAATTAGTCTTTTAGCAGTTTGTGCCTTGTCAGGAAATGGCACTTGGGTCCTCGAATAAGGGCGGGGTTTGGAGTAAGTGTATACATTTGTAACGCACAACGCCAGCACTAAGCTGGTCAGATTCCGTGGGCAGTGCTCTCTACGTGTCAGATATCCCCATTTTCTTGAGCTTCGTGAGTGTGAACGATAACTTAGATTGACTCCCTATTTCACCAAACTAACCCCGATTTAATCTGTTCGTACTTAAAACTTGTAGACCAGTTTTCTCTTGGTTTTGACCGCAACTCCGCTTGTGTACATTGCATCATCTGTGGCCCCTCCATTTCATTGGAACTGCTGTATCTGCCCTTTTATTCGTCACAACTTGTTTTTTCTTGGAGGGGATAAATGCATTGTGAAGATGTTTATTTTTAACTTTTTATCCATTATAATTTTTAATTTTTTTATTTGAATAAATTAACTTTTTAAAAATTATTAATCGAATATTTTAATTAAATTTTTCATTAAGTGATATATGTTTATTACTTCTAAAATACTAAATTATAAGTTTGCTCTTTTTTTCTCAATTGAGTATATGGATTTTAAATTTTGTTATCTGAGTATATTAATTTTTAAAAAATTATCAATCAATTATTTTTATTAATTATTTTATTGATTGATGAAATATTTATTATCTCTAGAATATCAAATTATAAATTCTATCTTTTTTTGTTTGAGAATTTTTCTCTAAACTATTCTACCATTTCAAAATTGATAAATAATTTTTTTAATATATATATATAAACCCCAAACTAAATTTAATTAGTTTTAGAATTAAAAATTAAAAAAAACACAAATATGAGATTTTGCATTAATAAAATTCATTGTTTGTGATCTTTTGAAGATAGAATCCCCTCTTACAAAAATAAGATAGAATTAATTTAGTATTTCAGAATAAAAAAACACATCATCAGTTAAAAAATTGAGTTTGAATAATAATAAATAACTCATTGATTTAAAATATTCAAATGTAAAACTTGTTATTGTTTATTTTTTAAAATAGATATGATAAAGTGTGATCATATCAATTTGAGTTTGAATATCCTAAATTTAAGATTTTTTTTTTTAATTTTGACTTGGTTGCGGATTTCTTACTTCTCTACGAGAAGCAAATTTCCTGCCTTTTCTACGTATCACATTTTTACTCCCTTGCTTTAATTATTTTTATGTACTTCATACACATGTTATCAACTCTTAATCTAAATGGACTGTCTTGATGTTAACTCCCTCCTCTTTTCATTTTTTTCCTAAGGTTAACGAAGCAACGAGAGATTTATAGTGTGGAATAAGATGAGAAATGAAAAATAGTATTCAAGAAGAAAAGTAAATTAAATGGTAGAAGAAGAAAAAAAAAGTGGTTGAAGTGATATTAAATTGACAAATTAAATTTTCGAGTTGATAGTTTATTATGGTTGAATGAGGTACAAAAAATTTATTATAGAAAAAACTTCAAAAGTGCCACGTGGATGATGTAGGAAACTTGTAACCAAATTTTTGTCTCTCATCCGTAATGATTCAGTTACCAACTCATGTTAGTCGCTTAAATTTCAATTATTATGATAGCAATATGGCCATAATAGCATTTTTTTTCAAGCGCGGTTGAAATTTAATCAAGGATCTTCATTATCAGGTTGACTCTTGTATAGTGATCGACGGTCTAGATAGATTTGGGAACTTTTGCCCAATCACTGATATAGGGTGCACGTACATTGCAAACCACTTTAAAGCCGCCAAGAGAGACAAAAGAGGTAGTGTGCAAATATTAACGCGAATCACGAGAGAGTAGAGGGTAGATAAATGGGGTGGCTTTATTTACCAAGGCGATTGGATATTAGGTGGTAAAAACTTGAAAGTAAAAAGGCAGCCCGTGAGCAATGGAACATAACCCATCACTTTCCAAATCTAAGAGGGAGCGAACAAACTTGTCCACGCGGCAGGCATTTACCGTAAACGTACACATACTCATACCGTCTGACCAAAACGGGACTGTTCAGCATCACTGTACTACAAGACAGCGACACTTGGCTGACCAGTTCAAACTGTCTTACACGTGTCATCTTATCTTGGTAACACCTGGACAGGAAATACACGTCAAAACAGGCAAATAAGGAGGCATGAGTAATTGAGTACAGTTTGAAAGAATCAAGGAGGGGGCAGTGCTGTAATAGCGATTTAACGCTACCAGCCACGTAATATTGCGGGTGAAGGGCGGCTAATTAGTTTGCGTGCTGGCTGGAATTGAGACATATTTGCATTACCCATGAACATCCGTTATCAATTATCGCAGAGATTAACGCAAAAAAATATGCATATATATAAAAATTGATAACCGTACATATAATTTGATTCCATTTTAACATTGTTATTCAATAACTGATGTGTATACTAATTTTTTTAATGATATTTTTTAACGTTTAATATTATTAAGTATTCGAGGAATAGTATTTTTTTCATTTATATGAAAAGAAAATTTATGTTGATAGTTATTTATGAATTTCCCTTTTTATGAATAGAGGAATATTTCTCCACACACATCTAATAATTCTTCTATTGTACCTCCAATAGTGCCAATGCTATAGTTCAAAACAAAAAAGTTGCATTCCTTTCCTTCTTGCTATATCCATGGTTTAATTATCGGAGGATTGCTAACACCATTATTTCTAACACTTTTTTTCAAACATTTGTTCTATGAAAGTGTATTTATTAAGTTTTTTTTATATAAATTTATAAATAAATAAGAAGTATTTCAATTTTTTAGATAATATGAGATTATTATAATTTTTTTTTATATTTAGACACAGAGCATCAGTTATTTTCTATTTATTATTATTTAATGTGAATATTTTTGTTGAGTAAATGTTTAGAGGACAGTGTCAGAGAAAGTATTACTGACGTTCTTCTAATTATATATATTTGTAAATGAAAAACTATATCCAACGGTTTTTCCATCTGGAACATGTATATATATGATATAGGTTGGTTTTATTTATATACCTGAGCAGTTCTTTGGATCTAATTCTTTTAGCCTACACAGATCACGTGACAGTTTTTTCCAATTGACAGGGTGTTCGGCTGGATAATTGCTAGTTTGGTCGGCGTAGATCAAGAGATTCTAAGAATTAAATCCACGGAACAATAATTAATTGACCACGCGAACGTCGATTTATACAACCATTGTTTCTCTAGTTAGAAGCATCTTCGTTTTTTATTGGCGCCACAGAATCGTGCCATGAGCCGCTCAATCAATGCTGTAGCAAATCTAACTACAGGCATACGTGGCATGGATTTCATAAGCATTGCAGTAGAACATTTGAAGAAAAAATAAATAGATAAACGGAATAAAAAAGGAAGATAATTGTGTATTCACGATAGAGTAAGTCTATATAAATAATTAAGTAGCAACTGTTCTATTGATGCATATGACCATTAGCTTGAATTTTAAGGAATGCAAATGCAGTGATTTAATATAGGTTGCGTACTAAATATCAAAGGCTTGTATGGCTGTGCCCGTTCTTAAATCGGCTGTGAATTTCACAAGCATTGTCCTTTTATAATTGGTATTTATGAGTCCAAGTAACGGGTAAACTTGCTTCTTTGAGTAAAAGCTGCAGATTAATTTATTAAATACCAGCTCTTCGAGGTTTCTTTGCTTGTGATTTCAACCAGTTATACCAACTTTTACAGATATAGATGTGCATATGCAATAGAATAAAAGTGGATAAGTTTTTTGACATCTGGGTCTCCACAATCTACGTAAAACAGTAACATTAATTTTCTCACAGTTAGATCTTCTGGAATTTTGTGCTGGCTGAAAATTGGCAAAATTCCAAGCCAAGCTTAATCTAATAAACCAGACCAGTCCAGTTCTACCTGAACTTTGTGTCTACATATAACACAGTATTCTAACTGCGAGATTCTAAATTTGAGGAACCAAGTGGTCAAATCCAAGACTGACGAGCAAATGAACAAAAGTGGTTACGCTATTTTCTTACCTTCGTCATATGCTGCAATTGTAAACTTCGAGTTACTTAGTATTGCTCGACTGCTCCCTCGAAAATAGCTCCAATTACCTCCAAAACGGTCATCCAAGTGAGTGGAGGCAAATGATACTGTGAGTCCTGTGCATAAATTTCAACAGCTGTTAAAAGAAAGGTAGTAAATTAAATAGCTGATGGTTACTTTGGTGCATCCAAAACAGGGCCCCTTGAGCTGCATTGAAATTTACTTTTATGAGATGGCTTTATGAGATTGGTGGGGTTCAAACCTGGAAAATTGGGTGCCAGGGCTGCCACCCCATGTGGATTGTCTTTGGGAGGAATAACCATAGCTTTCTGGGTTCCTCCATGTGAGGCTTGCTCTCAATCTACAATATCTCTCTAAGTTCTGCATGATATCATATCCTATTGTCTAGGGCCTAACATCTCTTTCATATATCTTGTCTATGGTCCAATAATTATGATATATCATATAAAAGAGCATGCACCAGCTTCCTTTTAACCTTTTATCACTCTCTTGTTCCCTTTTCATTAACCCACATGCATTTCAGATCCGCAGCATAACTTTTGATATTTACCTTTTTCATAACTAGACAAGTATAGATACATATCACCCCCTCCCGTTCAACAACTGTAAAAGAAAAAATAAATTGATCAGTACAACATGCTAGCTAAGTTCATAAGTGGAAGCAGTTAAAAGAAAAAAAATAATAATAAAGTGAAAATTAACCTAGGTGGGTGTCTGCTTAATTAGTGGACCCCACATCCCTTTCAAGTCCCCATGTCCTGGTTACATGAATGTGTGAGGTTGCACAGATTCCAACCTGAAACTCCCATGTTCTCTCTTACCGACCCTCTCCCTCTCCCTCTCAGCTCTTGCACACATTCCTTCGTTTTCTAATGTGTTCAACTGGGTTTCTCATTCTCGTCTCTCATCTCTATACAAAAAGTACTTGTTTAAAATATCAAGTGGTTACATGGTCCTCACTCTATAGCCTATATGAGGTCATATGGTGCTACTTATACTAAAAAAGAGGAGGCCATGTCGATGAATGAATATTCAAAACTTGTACAGGGAAATACGCCCTTAATTGTTTTATGCAAGAGTCCCCATACGCATAGGGGAAGCCTTAGACACGTAATTTATTCAACAAATTAATTGATTGGGCTACACGGATTTGGGAATGCTGAAACAATCATGAAGAGATGGGGGATTCTGATTCTTCTTAGGGTATAGCAGTTGGACCACCTTGAACAATTCTGACTCTACCCTGAAGTCACATGGGCATTCTACATTATCTTATGAAATGGTTGCCTATTTCTGCTTCAAAATTTTGCAGCTTCTGTTTCAATTCCTATTAATTTTGTTTCCCTCTTAAGTGTTGGCAAAGGTCAAGTTTTTATTTATAATTTTTTCTCAAAAAAAAAAAAAAAAAAAATCAACTAGCTACAGCTCCCATTGCAAAGGTCTTGTTTCAGCTTTCAATAGTCACAAATATCTTCATTGAACTTTCAATGTTAAGAGCTTTTATGCATCTTTTTATTTTGATGGTAGAAGAGGAGGGAGGAATAGAAAGAAGAAGAATGAGGTAGTATTCATGGTGATTTTGGGCGGTGGAGAGAGAAAGAAAAAGGAGAAATAAAAAGAAAAAACACATAAAAGTAAATTCGAATACATGTCAATTTTTCAGATAGATTATTAGTTGAATAACTTGTAATCGTTATTTAGAGTCAAATATCAAAACAAATTTGAAAATAAACAAGGAATATTAAAACAAATAAAAACAAGAGAGATAATATAGTAAAAAAAACCAAAAATAGAGAAACACATAAATTTTTAATTGTGACACTTGGTTTAAAAGCTACGTCTGGAATTTTTGTCATCTCGGTGCTGCTACACTTGACGGGTAAAAGGTAACTCTTCTAAACTTCTTTCTTCCTTTAGAGTAACCTCTCATTTTTTATTTGATTGATTGAAATAATAAAATGTTTAGATAAAAACATCTGCTGCATCATGAAGTTGAAACTTGCTGCTGCTTTTAAATTTTCTAATTTTAGTATTTTACCCACTTGTTCATCCCAAAATGATCAGGCGCATGTTTATGTCTCTTGCCTTGCAAATTTTAGGCCAATTACATATTTGTTAAATGATATTTTGAATGAAACAACAGTGAGTGAACTGTAACGTTTTTAGCATCTTTGTGGTGTCAAGTCAAGAAAGGCTTTTAATACGAACGTTGTAGTCAAATAAAGAATGGGTACTGATAAGACCTTTTAGTTCATGGAAGGGGAAAAATGTACTCACAAGGATGCAAATTATTCAGGCCAAGAGTTGGCATCTTTGTTCTGTAGCAGGGAAGGCTAATATTCCACTTTCTTCCCTCTGTACAAATTAGAATCTAATGACAGTCCACAACTCTCGTGTCAGTTTAGATGGATGGAATATGTGTCAAATGCTATAATTATCTAAAAGTGGAAGCACAAATTCTCCGAACATGTGCATATGTCACCCAATTACTATTTTTTTGTCCCTTCTTTTTGAGGAAGGAAAGAAAAGAAGAAGGGATGACTACTATAACTTGAGGCATGCACATGCATGTTTTGGTGCTAGCTAGATCTTACTCCTTAATTATCCCTCCCTAATTCCACAAAGTGTATCTTAATTAAACATCAGATATCAAGCTTGTCTATAAATATAATGATTATTGCACCATCTAAGCAAAATAGACTCTTCGATAAAAAAGAGAGAGAGAGAGAGAGAGAGAGAGAGAGAGAGAAGAAGAAGAAGAAGAAGAAGAAGAAGTAGAATAGCCTTATTAATTAAGCTAGCTGATTCTACGACTTTCGTTGATTTATCCCATCAAATAGGCTGAAATGTCTTTGAATACATCTTCCAATCGCACATTAATGGAACACGTGGATTTTTGTCCAACAAATTTTAGGTTTTAAAAGTTGCTTAATGAATATTCAAACCATATATGCATGGATTATACAGCATGATTTATTTTCAATCGTTTAAATGATTGTACATAAACTGGTTTGATGCACGGAATGTGGTATTGTATTTTTCAAAATACGTAACAGTAATTAACTTATTTAGAGCTCTGTTTCTTTCACAAATTTTTTTTTTTAAAAAAAATTGTTTGATGCACAGAACATCTACTTTCCTGATGACTTAGTTCAGGATTTCTTTCAAAATTAGGGTTAAGAAATAATTTTTATCTGCTATGTGACAATATGGCTTATTAGAGGTTTTGCTTTTCAAAAGAGAGCAAAGGCATTTCAACGATCCTATGTACTCTAGGAGATCGTCAGAAATAGGAACGACCTTTCGATCACGGATTAGCTATATATAGAATTTATTATTTTTTTATTTTTTTCGGTGAGGGGTGGCATTCCTCTTAGACCATAGATTAGGGTTTATTTTGAGGCATTAACATTATTTAGATGGTTAATCATTCTCCTTAGCTAGTCCCTAGCTTAGGATTATATTTTTGTTCATACATATATTCTCTTTAGACCCACCTCAGGAGAATATCTGCTCTATATCCTTCTACTTGGACCCTATATATTTACGAAATACGCTTCTTCTTTTTTTTTTTCAGGGTTCGCTTTAGTTCGCGAGCTCCTCGGACCTATTAGCTAGATTAGGAATTAGGATTTTAATTCTTTAATTTTCCCTTATTTCCGGATGCCAAAATTAATAATACCCTACAAAATGGATATGATAGTAAGAATTAAAAACAGCTGCAGGTTTTCTAAAAGAATATATAATGAGGATGTGTGTGTAAGGTGTATGTTTCCATTTGCTTGGGAAGCGTAGCCTAACTGCCAAAAGTAGGGGGCTTTGACATCGATTCATGCTTCACTTCACATGGCTCCCCTAACTCTCTCACTTTCGTTCTTTCAAGTGAAACGGCCTCGTTGAAGAAAGCAAAGAACATGGAGTCGCTGTGGATCCTTTCTATGATAATCGTTTGTTAACAAAATATTTAGCAATTTTTAAGTCTTTCCATGAAACTTATGTCAAGTTAATAAATCGATGAACTTTAAGCTTATACTACTATTAGTGACGCAATGCTTTAGTTTTAAAGTAATTAATAATAATCTAAAGTTGGATAAATTGTATTCTAAGTACAGAAAACGAGCCATTACATATTACAATATTAAAAACTAACATTAATTTAGATAATAAATTTAAGAACATATCAGTCAATAAATTAAATTTTAAATAATAAGTTATTGATTCAGTGATAAATTAATTAGTTCTCAAATAAATTTTTTATCAATATATAAAAATCGAATTTTAAAATTATATTTGTTAAGAAGAGTTAAATATTATTATTTTCGTTTCGAATAAAATTAATCTAATTTTCAATATTAGATAGAAATATCTGAAAAAACAAATTAAATGTTATAAATCTGTCATTACATGTTATGGCATTAGAAAATTGGCCTTCATTTGTTGCAATGAATTTAGGGACATATCTACAGATTAAACCTTATAAGTCTGCCATTACATATTATTACAGTATCAGAAAACTGACCTTCATTTAGTACGATGAATTTAAAAACATATCCACAAATTAAACCTATAAATCTGTCTAGTTGTGGGTTTCTTGTTTTTATACTGTTTCTTTTTAGTGGAATATCTATAGTCTGAATTTATAGGTTTCACATGAATTAGTTGCCGGCCATTTCAGCCTTCTAATATTACAAGCAGTTTATTGCGATTTATTTAGTTATTGTCATTTCTTCTTCGAAACAAAACTAAATGTTGCCATGTTGGTCCAAACTTATGGCCGTATCCTTTATGCTTTTAAAAAGTGTGGGGAAAAAAAAGTTGCAGTCGCCGTCAAGAAAATCCAGAAAGTGATCTTCCATCTCTTCGTTGCAAGAGATTTTTTTTTTTTTCAAAAAAAAAAAAAAACACTGATTTCTCTTATTAAAGGCAGCTGTCTGATAAATATCTAATTTATTTTAGCTATGCATAACTGTGAAGTACCCTCATGGTCTATGTTGATGCATTTAATTTCAGCCCGTCTTTTTGAGATCGGTCTTTCATATTGCAATCACAAAATTAAATATATTATTCTATTTTTAATTTTATAGATATCTTTTTTCTCATTGTTTATTCCCTAAATTTATCTTAAATGTACTTCCTGTGACTTGAGAGCATTAATGTTTTTTTACTGAAAGAAATGGTACACCAGAATGGTTTTTCAATATCTAACCATATCGTTTTTAATTTGCACTCATATTCCTACCCAACTGTGGATCATTAAAAATAATTTATGATATGACTATTTTTTTTATAACGTATGATATGAGTATTTATAAGATGGAATAAATTATAAATTAGTCCCTCTAAGTTTTCAAGATGAATTACAAAGTCCGTCTAGTTTCAATAACTAATCAATTGATCCCTGTATTTTAACATTTATTTGCAACTTAATCCGTTTCATTCATTTTAAATTTATTTTTTGAATGAAAATAAAATGAAAAAAAAAGTAAAAATGCGGAAAATCTTGATGAAAAAGGGATAGTTTGAAAATAAAATAATATTAAATTAATTATAATCAATTCCGATTAAGAGACTAATTAATTAGTTTTTAAAATAAAAAGATTATTTGATCCGTTTTATAAAACCATTAGGATTGATTTATAATCTATTCTTTTAAAATTCATCGAATAACAACAAGTCGTTCTAGTCTTATCGTCCCAAAGTGAGAGGATTTTGCCCATATAAGATATTTTAAAATTTTATTTGTCAAAACATGTTTTAATCTTATCAAAATATGATTTTTTTACCATTTAGATTAAATCTCCTATACATGTCTTCTTCTTTTTATCATCAAATTCACCAATCAATTTGTGATTTAAAAAAAATTATAAAATTAATAGTGAGTTTTGTAAAATAATTATAAAGTTATTAGTGAATTTAGCAGTAAAAAAAAAACAAACTGACGTGTAAATGATTTGGTATAGATGACAAAAAAAAAAAACTCTCTTTTGAAAAATAAGATTAAAAGTTCAAAAAACTCAGTTTTGGCAAATAAGTTTTAAAAATATTTTATCAGTGCAAAAGACTACAGAGGTGATCCCTCTCGGGGTCCCGCTGTGGAACTTGTTCTCTTCTCCAAATTATTTGCAGTTGGGCCCTTTGTATTAATTTGGGCTCACCTGCTCCGATGGATGAAGGCAAGAGATTACTATCCACACAACAAAGCTCACTTTCTTTCTGTAAATTACCAGCAAGTGCACCCCTTGAGACGTGGAAGGATATAATTTAAGTATATTTTTAAAAAAAATCATTTTTCTCTTCTTCTGATAAAAGAATATTTTATTATGATTATACAGGATAGTATTTGACTGTCCACAGTTTCAACTAAAGTCCAAAAAAATATAAAAATGTCGAAGGAAAAATAAGTTGAATTCGTTTAAAACGGTGAAAACTTACAGTGTGGAACAGTAATCTTGTCACTTGGTTGAAATATGAACTCTGACCTGCTGCTGGCCTTTGAGCTCAACCCATTTGGCCCAAGCGGCGAAACACAATGAGAAACCGCTATGACGCAACGCTCTCCTCTTGTTTCTCACTAAGCAGACTTGGCCCAACCCAACTTATTACTTACGGACATTAAAAAACATTATACAGTATTCAATATTTCTCAAAATGATCCCACCGATGCCATTAGAATTGTGTTATTTTGTTCACAAGTCAAATAAAACATTCAAAAATTTTATGTCTTTTTATTGTTATTTTTATGCATTTATTTTTTCTATATATCCGATTGAAGATATTTGGATTACTCTATTTTAAAATTGGAGTTTATTAGAAATAAATAATAGATTAAAAATAAAGATTAATTGGTTCAATAATACTATGTACTATTGGTCAAACATTGATTAATATCATAACTTCTATTTTTTCAATTCGAGTGTTGTAACTAGTTTTTAGTTTGAAATCAAATCGATCAATTCCATTGATCAAATCTCGAGCACATATGATAGGGACGTGAGGATAAAATAACCGAACAACTTTTGCGTTTATTTTTTCCTCATTTTTTCTCCCCTCCTTTCCTCTCTCTCCTCTCTCAACTTTTTTTTCCTCCAAAATTATCTTCGGTGTTAACACATCAAACAAATAAACAAAAAACATTTATTTCTCTCTTCTCTAATTGGCACACTAAAAAACCCATCATTCCCTTCTTCCTCTCATTCATATCTAGTCCATTTTTTTGGTGTATTATATTAAACAAAAATGTAATCCCTGTAAAAACCCTTATCCGTAACACGACGTGTATTAGAATAATTCTATATATATGTATATTAAGAGTAAGTGTAATTATCATTTCATCATGAGAAATTAATACTTGAAATATGTGATTTATGTTAAATTAAAGTTATTGTGCTTAAGATTAATGGTTTAATTATTAAAGAAATTAAATATGCAAAATCAGTGTTTTAAGGACTATATTCTGCCCGAGTTTTGTGTGAATTATTTGAGGCCTTTAGAGTAATTTTTGGGTCAACCTTAAAGAATGAAAGTTGTTCATCTATGTGTTTAATAGGCCTGTATAAAATTTTATAATATTTGGACTTATACATTAAGAGTTATACCAATTATAGTGAGGGTTGTTTCGAAATGCATTCTGCTGGAATTTTGGGAGAAGAATCTGCCCAAATCTTGTGAGATTTATTTGATGCTTTTAGATTGATTTTTGAGAAAAACGTAAAGAATAAAAGTTGTTTTTCTATGTGTGTACTAGCTCTCTATAAAATTTCATAAATTTTGGATACATATAGAAAGAGTTATGCACATTTTAGTATAGATGGGTTAGAAGGAAACACTGCTGGAATTTTGGGGGAAAAGAAATTCCGAATTTTTAAAAATGGAAATTTCCGAATTTTTATGAAAGAAAGCAGTTTTAGTTACTTGAATTAAGTTAATTAATGATTTTAATTAGTCTAAATTTTATATAGACACCTAAGCAAATGCAATAAATGAATTTAATGCCAACTCACCCATTATGGATTCCAAAGCAGCCAGCTTTCCTCATGACTCACCCATAACCTTTACACCTTATCCCATTAATTTCTAACACTTGTAGCTGAATGAAAGTAAGTATATATATGTATAGTAAGTTTTAAAATAGGAGAAACACTTTAGTAAACCGTAGGTACCAGAAATTGAGAGAGAAAAGGCAAGAAAGAAAAGAGAGGAAGAAAAACGTGAGGAGAGAAAGGAAAGGAAAGAAAAAGAGGAAGGGAAAAAGGAAAGAAAAAGAGCTAAGAAAACTATAATCAAACCTAAAAGAGGTAAGTAGGTTTCGTTTCTTTGGCTGATTAATGTCTTAAATTATTTTTTTAAAGTTATTTTGTTAGTATTTATTTTATGGGTTGTAATAACTTTCAATGGTTATATGCTTGATGCTTGGAATAAATCTATGTATGGATGCCTTGTTGTGATGATTTATGATGTTATGATTTTTTGAAAAATGTCCAAGTATGTGGTGATGGGTTGGATTGAACTTGGACTAAATTTAAGTGAACTAAAACATGTTTAAAATTGGCTTGGAATGAACTAATAAATTAGTGTTAATAAGGAGTAAATTCTATCCGAATTTTGGGGTGTCTATTCAA